AGCCCTATGTCCAGGCTACACGACCTGGGTTACAGAAGAACCATCTGGGGTTCTTGCCCTTCAAACCCTGACCCTGCGCAGTTTGCACAGCTCCCTGGATTTCACAGTTCAACAAAGTTAACCTGAACTCAGAAGCTGGTCGCCCATAGCTGGCCCAGAATCTAGAACTTCCACTGCTGTGTAAGAGCCAGAGACAGGAAGGAAGCAACCACTGAGAGGAAGTGTGCAGCTAACAAAAGCATAGGCTTTGACATCCAAGACATCAGCTCTGTCACTTTGGGTCACCAGTCAGAGCCTATTTCCTCAGACGTAAGATGGAGCAATGTTGCCACTGTTGGGTTCAGTGGGGCTCAGTCATTTCATGTATGTCAGGGCCATGTCATAGAATCTGACAGAGTGCACCACACACATGACAAGCAGATTCAAGACTATCACAGGGGCCAGGGAGAAAAGGCTAGAGGGGTCTTGCAGTTGAAGACACATCCCTGGTCCTTAGAGATTTCAGGTCTCCATTCCTGGGTGTGTGTGGGCTGTCAGGGGAGGTTGTCAGGCCTGCAAAGCCAGCTCCTTCCTCACTCACCTGCTGGCACTCATGAAGAATGATGTAAAAGAGCCCTCCTCCATCCCTTACCGATGACTTCCCTTCTGCTTGCTAATGGTTAGCTCTCCCTCATTCCTTTCCTTCAAGTCCAGATTCCCAAATCATCTCCAAAACACACACCAAGTCCTCTTCCCTAGTCATACTCAGCAAGGGTTCTTTCAAATCTGGTTTGAACCTCCCTGATGGTGTAGCTTGGTCGGGAGAACCACACCCATCCTCCCCTGGCAGAGCTGGCTAGTGGCTGACCTGGCTTTGTGGACGGAAAGGTCCTTTGCCGATGTTCCGATGTTGGGGTGGACCTCAAGGTAGGCTAATCACTCTGAAGGCTTGGTCATAGATGCAGACACAGGCACCAGTAAGGCGACCTGAAGTCGGGTCTCTTTCAAACATAGGAAGTTAGGACAGAAACTCTGAATCTCATAAAGTCATGCAGCTCAGGATGACAGTGTTGAGACTCTAGAAACCAAAGAATCGCAGAATTAAGAATCGCAGAATTAAGAATCGTGGTTTAGACCCGAATAGTTTGCTCGTATAACTAACATGCACACACAACAAATGGGTAAGAAGGGTACTAGGGTAGCATTGGTACTGAGGGTCCCGCAAGTCAGATGCGGATTCCTCAGGGGAGGGGCGGGGCCGTGGGACTTCAGAGTCATCCTCTCGATAAGGGAACGTGGAATACATCAGGAAGCAGAGTTTCTGGGGCAGCCCTTCTACTCTGACAGTTCCCGGGGAAGGTGCTGGAACATCCACCCCTTCCGAATTCCCTAGCTCACCCATGAACACGGCTCTCCAGTCCTCTGCCGCAAACGCCTGCCCACAATAAACAGGGCGGCGAGGGTGTCACCCGACGAGGGGCGGAGCCAGTGGTTATCGCGAGAGCCGAGCTTTTATGCCTATATCCGGCGTGGGCGGGGTGACGACCGTCCTTTCGGTTTTCGGCTCGGAGGAGGCAACGGTGCAACTTTCTTCGGTCGTCCCGAATCCGGGTTCATCCGACACCAGCCACCTCCACCATGCCGCCCAAGTTCGACCCCAACGAGATCAAAGTTGGTGCGTGCCCTCGCCGCGCCCGGGCTACGGGTGGCGCTTTCCCCGCCGCGTGCTGGCTGTCCCGGGCCTGGCTCCGGGGCTGCGGGGCTGCCTCTCTTGGGCCTCGCCTTCCTCGTGTGTAGATGGGGAGGGAGCACCGCCCGCGCTCTTGCAGCCTGTGTGCCTTGGGTAAGGCCTGGCCCCGGGAGGGCTGCGGCCCGACTGCCCGGCGCGTTCGGCGGAAGGTCTGATTGTGCTTTTTCTCAGTGTACCTGAGGTGTACCGGAGGTGAGGTCGGCGCCACATCCGCCTTGGCCCCCAAGATCGGCCCCCTGGGTCTGGTAAGTCGCTGCCGACAGCTGTCGGTTTAGCATGAGATCAGACACATTTTTCCTGTGTCTGTGCCTGTTGACCCCCTCTACCATGTGGGTGCTGGGGCTCGAACCCGGGTCCCCTTCAGCCCTGGTTTGATTCTAAAAACTTTTGAAGGCTGAAATTAAAAGGGTTTATAGGCTCGTGCCACGGCACAGTTGTGACAGTCATCAGGCAGGTTCTAGGAGGTAAAGAGGCTCAGGCGTTACCATGCGCTTGGTGCCTTTGTTCCTAGAAGGAGCAGTGGAGTCGATGAGTGGCTGGTTAAAACCTGCTCGCCCGTGAGATTTTAAGGGAGTGCTCTTCGTGGGTAACCCTTGGGAGCCTAGCATTAAAGCTCTGCAGGTGACCCCATCACAGCTGTTTTCTTCAGCTCTTCTGGCACAGTTGGTGTAGTAGTGAGGTGTGGAGTGATGAGGAGGGCTGTAGAGCTGGCAGGCGTGAGTTTAAAGGCTAAGCCTTCAACTTTAATGTTCTTTTTACAGTCTCCGAAAAAAGTTGGTGATGATATTGCCAAGGCAACCGGTGACTGGAAAGGCCTGAGGATTACAGTGAAACTGACCATCCAGAACAGACAGGCCCAGGTATTTACATTGCTTGGTGTGGGGGAAGGCTGAGGTGGTACCTCTTGGGAAGTCATGGGATCTCGCTGTTCTGGTGAATCTAGCTTATCTTCGCGGGAAGGCTTCTGGGAAGGTGGTGGGTGCCAGGGTGTAGGAGTCCGCCATGTAGGGCCTAGAGTTTAGGATTAAAATCAAATGGCTAGGCTGGGCAGGAAGTGCTGTTAACCACTCTCTCTCCCAGGCCCCGCTGACAGACTTTAGTGGCAGTACTGGTATTAAAGGTTCCTGCACTGTACTCACAGTGATTTCCCTCGTAGATTGAAGTGGTGCCCTCTGCCTCTGCCCTGATCATCAAAGCCCTCAAGGAGCCACCAAGAGACAGGAAGAAACAGAAGAACAGTGAGTTGATTGCACTTTTCTGGTTCCTCCAGTGTTTGCTTTTTGGCTTTAGTTCCTTTTGATGAAACTTAGGTCCGACAGGATCACTTTAGACCCTTTGTTCTGACTCCTGGGTCAGGAATAGAGTCACACTCTTGCGTTGGTTGACACTGGACACTTAGCCCCGGGGATTTAAGCTGCATTTCCCATCTCTGAAGTTATGTTGGGCTGCTGGTGAAGTTGATTCTGCCTCAGCCACCCGCCACTGCACCTGACCAGTACTATTGGCTGGTGCAATCCAGTGGTGAGCTGACAGTAAGCCCCAGCTTTAGGAAACAGGGTTGTCCTCCATGTGGATGACTCTGTGCCGAAAGCATGGGGACAGCTAGACATAGAAAATGAGATGATCTTATCACAGAAGATGGCACATACGCGTTTTAAAATAGCAAAACCACCCTTGTGCTTTCTTTCCCACAGTTAAACACAGTGGAAATATCACTTTCGACGAGATCGTCAACATTGCCCGGCAGATGCGACACAGGTCTTTAGCCAGAGAACTTTCTGGTAAGTTACTTACACTGACTTTTCTGTGTATCCTGTTTTGGAACTAGTAACTGTAAACCAGACTGGCCTCCCAAGTACCAGATTAAAGTGCATTGTCACCACCCAGTAGGATGTATCAAGCCATCGTTTTTTCCCTTTGCTCCTCAATAAAGAGTTGCAAGGGACTGAGGCTTCTCCTTTTAATATAGGAACTATTAAAGAGATCCTGGGTACTGCACAGTCTGTGGGCTGCAATGTGGATGGGCGCCACCCTCATGACATCATTGATGACATCAACAGTGGTGCTGTGGAATGTCCAGCTGTAAGTGACATTGCATTTTCCCCCTTGTTCTGTTAGTGTGGGGATAGCTGGGCTTTTTATTGCCTCTGTCTTGCATAGAGGTATTGTTAAAGGGTGAAAATTCTTTGTGGAAATATGTTCCCCATTGTGACTGGTAATTTCTCTCCCTTTTCTAGAGCTAAGAAGCAACAAGAGAAAATATTTCAATAAAAGACCATCTGATAACCAGTGAGCTTGACTGTTTTTTGGGTGGGGAGTACTTTTTTTTGGGATATTGTGGCAATGGTAACAATCTATGGAGCATAGGGTATATCCAGGAATGGAGGGTGCTTTTTTAAAAATTCTTTGTTGTTAGGCTGCCATGAAGAATCTATTGTTGAGGCAGAACAAAGACTATTGGTCGCTCTGGAGTTCTTATGTACAGAGCAGTGCAAACACTTTGAAAACCTTGAGCCTTCTGTGGGTTTTTAAATCACTTGGTTACAAAGCCGGCACATTTTTCAGATGAACAGGCATCTGAATAATCTACCTGGGCCCACATTAATTGACAGTGGCACCCTGTAAAGGAAAATACGCTATATTAATAGTTTACCCGTTTCATGAGTTTTTCCAATCAATACAGATCATGTTTGTATTTTGAGGAAGATAAAAACCCAGTACAACTTTCTAGAAAATGCTGCACAGGTGATAGAAGATGCATTTTTGCAGTTGACCTTCATTTGGTTTCCAGCACTAGCAGTTTACAACCACCCCAAACTCTGCCAGGCATGCTCACTGTAACATGCATGCTGGCACAATCCACAAACCAAAGACCATCCAGCTGCCCCAGGGGTTGGGAAGGAGGTGCTGGAAGAGAAGCCTATGAAGCCTGTTTGCTTCCTGTGGAGCCACCTGTGTTCATGAAGCAGGGAGGCTCAGGTGGCAAGATTGCCATTCTCTAGTCTCAGACAAATATACTACTGAGGGGCCAGGGTTCTATTTAACTAGTTCCAATAGTTTTGGTAAAGATACATGCAGGTCAGATGCCAAAAAAATCAATTTAAGTCAAAATTAGTTATGCCTCTTGGCTGGTGGTGGCACAGGCCTTTAATCCCAGCACTCTTTTTTGGTTTTTTTTTTTTGAGACAGGGCCTCTCTGTAGCTTTGGGGCCTGTCCTGGAACTAGCTCTTATAGACCAGGCTGGTCTCAACTCACAGAGATCCACCCGCCTCTTCCTCCCCAGTGCTGGGATTAAAGGCGTGCGCCACCACCGCCCGGCTTAATCCTAGCCCGGCTTAATCTAATGTCAATTAATGTGGGTTACTTGTGGCCAGCCTCTGGTCTACAGAGTTCCAGGACAGCCGAAGCTGTTTAATAAAGAAGCTCTGTCTTGAAAAGCTAGGTTCAGTGGAAGGGGGATGGATGACCTTCAAAAGGTCTAAGGTGATTTTTCAAGACAAGTGTTTCTACTTGTACCTCTGTCCTGAACTCTAGACCTGGCTGAATCACTTCTCAGTTGGTCTTAGGATTCTATGGGTAATGCCTTCCATGTAGTTATGGGGTTTTAGAAATACGGTTTATTTAGTCCTCGAGGGAGTGGCTGAAAATGAAAATACTGTTGCTAGTGGGTGACTATCACCTCAGTGGGGCACGTGGGAGACAGAACAAGCTGCCCCCTGGCACAGGCCATAATTTTGGATATTTTTGGACACTGAAATAGGAATTTAACGAGGCTACTGATCAATGTGGAGAAATTAAAAATTAAAGGGGTAGAGGTGGCTTGGCAGAGCACTGGCAGTTCTGTTGGAGTACCTGGATTTCCTGACTTCAATAATGCTGATGCCCTCGTGGCATCTGAGGGCATGTATGTACACGGACATAGGATGCACATAAATGGAGGGTTAATTTAAGAGGATGGGGCTCTAGGTAAGTACTGAAAAACAAAACCCAAATACACAGGCTAGAAATAGCTACAGTGGAATGTGGCACTAACCTCAGACTTCTGACTAAAGACTGATGAAGGCTGTGCCCCTTAAAACAAGCACATTGAGGATGTCTGCTGCTTTTTTGGCCTCAACCTCAAGTTTTGGCTGCCTGGCTGTTCTTGTAGAGGGCCCAGGTTCAATTCCCAGTACCCATAATGGGATGGTTCACAATCACCTATAATGCCAGTTCCAGGGGATTCAACACCCTCTTGCCTTTTTGGGAACCGTTACACATGTGGTGCACATATGCATACTTAGGGCATGGGTACACAAACGCTAAATATGTCTTCACACAAACTGCATACTTAGTAGTTGCAGCAGTGCTCATGACCTGTAAATGGAAGTAATCCAAAATGTCGGTTCACTGAGGAATAAAAATGGGTATGCATGAGATGTCATTCATTAATAAGGAGGACTTAAGTGTTGATATACGTTATAATGTGGATGAAACCTGAACTCACAGGCTAGACAAAAGGGTCAGGTATGAATCATTCATTCTATGTGCCCTCAGCAAATCCAGACCGAAAGCCGAGGAGCATGGATGTAAGGTCTGAGGAGTGACCACTAGTAGATGTGGGTTTCTCTCGCAGATGAAGTGTTGTGGAATTAAATAGCGACTTCAGAGCTACATGAAAACACTACATGGCCACTGAATGTAAAAGTCCCCTTTAAAAGCAGGGAACGACTACTATGATATGTAAATCTGAATAAAAAGGTCAGAACTGGACTGGTTTTAGCAGAGACCTTGGTCCTCTGTTGGTCGTCGTCTTTTGCGATGCAGGGAGGAGAGTCATACACATTCTGTTCTGTGTTCCAAGTGCCTTCAGACGCTATTTCACCTGCTTAAAGTTCTTAGAGACACGATGAGTAGCTAAGATCTATTTTCTACAGAGAAACCTAGGGTAAGACACCTTGGTCCCTCAGTCAGAAGGATCTTCCAACAGCACATTTCCCCGTCCTCTACGGAGTCATTGCTACGAGGCTGAACCTGCTGTCGAAGTGTCCCGTGTTCCAAGCATCCCTGGCTGCCTCCCCCGGAGCAAAAGGCTAAGTCGCCCTGGATGAAGTCTCGGCACTGGACAACAGGCAGTTAAGTACGCAGAGATCACTCGGGCGTACCTAAACTCCCCAGATCCCACTCTTCGCTCAGAACGCTCGTGGAAACTGTTCTGGTTGGGGCCACTGCGCATCCCAGTGGGCAAACTGAACTGCATAGTTCTCCGTCCCGCACAGAGGGCGCACCTGAAGCCTTCGCCGGCGTGCACCTTCCCGGACGGACGGCCTCAACCCGAGTCAGGCGGACGCGCAGAAAGGACGTCACTTCCGGTCACGCGCAGTCTTCACCCTGAAGCCTGCTTCCAGCAAGTCTCGGTGAGTCTGTTCCTCTGCAGTCTCCTCCTGGCCGCCGGGACTGTGGCCCTTCTTGCCTCGCGTGGGTGTGTTTCACAGAGAAGCTCCGGCATACCCGTGCTTGTTTCCGGAGTCCATCCTGAGAACTCCGCATCTTCCAGATGCGCCAGGATCCGGATGCGGAATCCGGGACAGGGAGCGACCGGGCCGCCAGGGATGCCGGGAAGGGTGCTTATGCTGTCAGTGGGCACCGACGATAAAGAGTGCTTCAGTGGACTTTTCCAGAGAACCGATGCCATTTCTTCTCAAGCAAGTGTTTGGTGGAGCGTAGTCCGGGTGGCTTAGGAAGAAAGAACTACCATTTCGAGGAGAGCAGCTTGGACTCACATCGTTCGGCTGACCTGCCATGCTCAGCCGGCAGGTTGGTGAGCTCTGGAGCCCAGGGCGTCATCTTTTTTTTCTGCTTGGGATCGAGGCATTCCAAAGAGTATCACACCTCTGCTGGTGTTGACTTGTTCATGGCTCCAAGGCCTAGTAGCAGCTAACTCCTGTAATGGCCAGGTTTCCTGTCTTAGTCCTGTGATCTCCCTTTCGGCCGCCGGGAGGTAGCAAAGCGCTTCAAGTGTCAGATGACGTCATTCTGTATAGTGTTATTTAGGGGTGCTAGGCCATTCCTGCGCTCTGCAGAAACAGGATTTGCCCACGTTATTCTGGGGATGGTAGTGTGGCTGTGTTAAGGGGTAGTTAACGTTTGTGGGAAGTGCAGATTTCTATCGGGTTGCATAAAGCTGTGTCTGCTGCAGCTCTTCTTTGGGGATGCCTATCTGCACCTCTCCATGGCCTTGCTCTTATGGTGTTGACATGGGCTCCCAGGAGTGTGGGGGGCAGGTGCAGGACTGTCTGATGGAACTGGCCCTTCGTTTCTCAAAATTTATACTCTGAGGAGAAGGTTCCAGAGACTGGAGACCTTAGGGAATGTATGGGCCCCTAAAGCACTGGCATCTAGAAGTGGGTGGTGGTAGTCAGAAGGTGGAGTGTTAAACAGGAGACAGGGTTGAGACACTTCAAACCCCAGGCCAGACTTGGTAGTGTGTATCTGGAATCCCAGCACAGGGGAACAGAGACCTAAGGCAGAAGGATTGGGAGTTCAAGGCCAGCTTGGTTTACGGAGTGAAGCCTTTCTTGAAAACTCCCTTTCAAGTGTCTGTTTGTTATACATCCCTGAGTTTCACACTGACGCTGCATGCGGCTCCCTGCCACACCTCCAACAGCTGCTGTGGACCCTGCCCTCACCGTGCCCTCATCCGTTCCTCAGCACCATGTCATTTAAAGGAAATAATTAGCCCAGAGAAGATGTGATGGTCCAGGCCACACGGGCAGTGAGCAGTACTAGAATTCAGATTTTGCACATTGAATTAGCCTTTCCTCGTACCTGGCTCCTCCCCCAGATTATAGGGAGTACAGTTTGGAGCCATGATGACATGCCTTCATGTTAAGTCACCTCTCTGATGGTGCCTCTACTCTTGCCTTCTGGTCTTTCACTCGTCCATTGATAGAGGTTGAACAATGACCAGGCTACAGTCTGTGGCTAAGAATGGGCGTAGGCAGGCCACTTGCAGCTTCAGCCCCCGGGGCCTGATGTGTTGAACCAGCTAGCTTCCCTAGTCATAGTCTTGTCCATACCTGTCTTAGGTCCCACTCCATGGCCTGACTCCCTGAGAACTGACTTGGTCATAGAGGGAAGGCCTTTCTCAGACACAGCCCACTGCAGCTTATCGAGATGGATGGGTTGCCCTGACAGTGTGCATCTTACTGACCAACAAGCACACCTGTAAGGTTTCATACTGTGAAGGTTTACTCAGACATCCGTTCTCTTACTGTTACCCCCTTCCCGTCCACCCTCACCCTCAGCGCCCCTCACCTCTACTTCCTCTATCAGTGTTCCCTTGCTTCTCCATCCATCTCTACCACTGTCCTTTATCCCCTTTATTTCTGTCTATTGTTAGTCTCCTCCCTCCCCATGTTCAATGAATCTATATATGGCACCTGAATTCTCAATAAAGAGACTGGAAGCAACCTAAATGTGGAATATGGAATTGATTTAAGTTCTCTATTTAATATAGGGTTGACTTAAGTACTGATATACACTGGAATAATTGCACATTCAGCAAATATCTGAGCATCTATGTTTGCTAGGCACCATGTCAGCATGGTAATTACAGGTACTGAAGTGGGCTGAATATATACACGTACCTCCCTTTCTTCCCTGTCATCCCACTGAAATGACATCAGAGGTGTATAAATGGAAGCAAATCTTTAGTGCATCAGGGAGTTGTGTGTGTTGAGTCGGGTGACTGATGCCAGGTACTATAATGCGGCCTGTGGTTCTTTACTCCTAAGCGTAAGCATGGACAAATTGTGACAGATATGTGAGATAAATCAGCTGTTTGAATAACCAGATCAACTCATCAGAGGAGAAATCAGAAAACAGAAGATGGCTTTCAGAAAGTTAGAACCTATAGCTTGCTTTATAGCAGGAAATAAGCATCGTAGATATGGAACCACTGCTGATGGGATGGGAAACTTTGGAAGTCGAAGTAGCTTGTAAAATACACTTAGCCCAGCAAAACCACTCCACACAAGATATATCTCTATGCCCCCATATAGTTCCAAACCGGAAGTAACTAAGTATCTAGTGATGATCTTAGAAATACGGGAAATGAATTGGTTATGCACCTAAGCACATGAATGAACCTGAAGGTGCTGTGCTACATTAAAGAAGCCAGGTACACAGGCCTCAAACTATGATTACATCTATAAGATTCCCTAGAAAGCCTAACAGAGCACAGGGCACTGTTTTCCAGGGTTAGAGATGCAGGGAGGTGACACTGGACAGGAATATGGAAGTGTCCTGTCCTTAAGTGTGGTGGTGGCTCCTAACTACAGTTTACTATGAATCATTAGATTTTATACTTAAAATTGTTGGATTCTGCCTATGTAAATCATGCCTTAATCTGAATTCCTTCCTTCCTCCCTCCCTCCTTCCTTTCTTTCTTGACAAGGTTTCTCTGTTTAGCCCTGGCTATTCTGTAACTCACTCTGCAGACCAGGCTGACCTTGTACTTAGAGATCTGCCTGCCTCTGCTTCCCCAGTGCTGATTAATGGCGGCGTGCAATACCACTGCCTGGCTCCATCTGATTTTAAATGGTGAAAATGTATATCCTTAGAAAAGACATTCATTCCCTTAAACAGTGTAGGACGGTGCTATGAAGGCATAGAGAACAAGAAAAAAGGGCTGGGGAGCTGGCTCCATCAGTAAAGTGCTTACTCTGCAGGCCTGAGACCTGAGTCAGGATCCCCAGCACCCACAGCTACAGCTGGACACAGTCACTGGTCAGCAGCAGTGGCATTTCCTGAGTCTTGTGCGTGCTTGCCTTGGGGCTGGAGTCACACTGTCAGCACTCCTGGTCCACCAGCTTGCTGACTCTGCAGATGTTAGGCCTCCTTGGCCTCTTGCAACGACTCTGTTCACCCGTCTCTGTACATCCTGTCTCTGCATACCTTGTCTCTCTGCATACCCATCTTTCTATACACTCGTCTCTCAGTACACCTGTCCCTCTGTACATCCTGTCTCTGTTCACCCTTTCTCTCTGCACACCTGTCCCTCTGTACATCTGTCCCTTTGTACACCCATATCTGTACACCTGTCTCTCTGTAACCCGTCTCTGTACACCTGTCCCTCTGTACACCCGTCCCTCTGTACATCCTGTCTCTGTACACCCGTCTCTCTGTACACCCGTCCCTCTGTACACCCTGTCCCTCTGTACACCCGTCCCTCTGTACACCCTGTCCCTCTGTACACCCGTCCCCCTGTACACCCGTCCCTCTGTATACCCTGTCCCTCTGTACACCCCACATGCATCCGGCCCACACCACCCAACAGCTCCCTCGGCTTATGTCACTCACATAAGAGTATGTCAGCCACTAGGAAACAGTGTGTTCTCATAATCGATAGATTGAAAAGTATTAGAATTGTTTTAAAGCATGACTAACAAGGCAAAAGTATTTGTAGAAGACAGCAAAACAGCAAAGACAAAGGAGAGTGCCAGTGGAAAGGGTGTGGTTTGCATGCCTGGAATTCACCATTTGGGATTAAGTTTGAGGCCAACCTAGGCTGTTACAGAGCTAGAACCTGTCTCCATAGCCTCCCTGCAAAAGAATCTTAAGTGGAAAACAGAGAAAAAGCATCAACCAGGAAAAACAGTGTCCACTAGACTGGGACTGAGCAGGAACGGCGTCCGCCGGACGGCATCCACCTGACCTTCAGGGCAGCACAGGAACGACGTCCGTCCGCTGGACAGTCTTGACAGCAGGAGAATGGGGTCCTGACAGAGCATGAGGGGACAGGGAATCCAAGGGCAGGGGCAGGAGAATCAAGAGGTAAGGGATGGACTACAGAATGAGACTGTCCCCAAAATAAAACAAAACCCTCACCAACATCACTAGATTTACAATTATATTCTTTCTTGCCCAGCTTTCGATGACCAAGCCTGTGAAATATGCTACAGTATTCCACCCGCAGGATCAACTGGGAACACACTTCCCATCATTCCGCAGACCTTACCACACACCTGGGGTTGGCAAGGATGGCTTAGTGGGTAAAGGCACCTGCTGAGAAACCTGGGACCTTTAGAAGCTGTCCTCTGACCTCCAGACGTGAACTCTGACACAACTGCCTCGCCGTGAATAAATCTAAAACAACAAAACCCACAAAAAACAACCCCACGGGCTGGAGGGGTGCTCGGTTAGTAAAGTGGCCGCTGTGTGAGCGTGAGGACCACACTGAGATCCCAGCACACCCACAGAAAGCCAGGCATGAGGGCTGGTGAGACGACTCGGAGGGGAGAGGCTCCAGGATCAGGACCCACACGGTGGAAGCAGAGAACCAACTCCTGTGAGTTGTTCTGATCTTCACTTGTGTGCTGTGGCTCACACAGTCCCACAGAATAAATAAATAAAACTCAAATCTTCAAAGCTGGACACGGCAGCATGTGCCTGGTGGAAGGGGCAGACACATGGATCCCTGGTCCATGAACTTCAGGTTCTGTGAGGCCCTGTCTCAAAAGATTCAGGGGATAGGTTGGAGAAGTGATGACTTAACCTATACTGCCCTTGCAGGGGACCAGAGTCATGTTAGGTAGCTCACAACTGCCTATAACCCCATCTCAAGAGGATCAAATGCTTCTGGCCTCTATGGGTACCGACAGGATGGACAGACAGACACACACACCAACACACACAAACATATACACATTCATACATCACACCCCCACACAAAAAGAAAAAAGAAAATAAAGATGGCATGAGACTGCTGGGGGATGCAGCAGGGTGAGCGTGTTTGGCTGGCTAGCGTGAGCCAGGCTCTGAGCTCAATCTCCAGTGACAGAAAAAGAAAACAGTATCTGGGCAGAACTTGAGGGTGGCAGTAGAACAAAGCCTTTCAGGATTTGGGGACAGTCTATCACCGTCACACCTAGGGGCCTGAGAGAAAACCCTGGGATACCAAAGGGCGGTCGTTCTGTGAAGATTTCAGCAAATTAAATGGGCTCCAAGGAGCAAGGAACATTTGTCCCAACAGTTCTCTGATTAAAAACTTAGGACCACAGCTTCTCAAGTTGGTCAGAAAGAACAGAATGACATTTAGTAAGCTGAGGCAGGAGGATTGCAGTGGGTCCCAGGCCAGCCTTGGATACTAATAGGTTGTAGGCTAGCCTGTGTTACATCGTGAGTCACTATCTTAAAAAACAAACAAACAAAAAAAGCCAGATGTGCTGGACACACCTTTAATCTAAGCAGTCAGACCTCTTTATCTACTATGGTCTGTATCCAGGGTAGCCACAGCTACAGTGAGACCCTGTCTTAAACAAAACAAAAAAACCAAAAAGGAGATTCCACTAACAACCAATGGAGCAAAGGAGGGCTAGTTAGTAGGACGGTGAAGACTACAATGTTTTTTTTTTTCCTTTTTTTTTTTTTGGTTTCTCTGTTGCTTTGGAGTCTTCCCTAGAACTAGCTCTTGTAGACCAGGCTGGACTTGAACTCACAGAGATTTGCCTGCCTCTGCCTCCTGAGTGCTGAGATTAAAGGTGTGCGCCACCGCCGCCCGGCAAGCCTGTTGTTTTGAATGACTGACAGTGAAAGAGTGGGTGCCAGAGGGGAGCCATAGTCCTAACTGGCATTACCACTGGAGAGGGCAGCTTTTCCGTGAGAGCAAAGTGCCTAGCAGATGACTGGCAGCTGCAGAAATCATGCTAACTCCACCTGTCCTCCATGTACTCCCGTGAGTAGGTACTGAGCCGTGATATAAGCGTCTGCAAGACTTCTGGCTCCATTAAGTCAAGCAGAAAGAGGCTTTTTATTTTCTGAAACAAAACAAGATTTGGTGGCTAATGACCCAGGACACTGAACCCAGGAAAGTGCTGGAAAGAACCTGTGAGTTACAGGTAAGCTGACCCCAGGGGAATCCACAGCACCTCTGGACAGGGCCGAGGAGGGTTCAGTTGACTGCAACATTCTCTTCTCCATCTGGGCTCACTCAAAGAGGTCACAGCCTTGTTTCTGAGCCCAATTTTTATGAGGCCAAATTCCTTTCTGATCCCACAGTCAGGTGTGAGGCATAGGCGGGGGCTTAGGACCCAAGAGTCAAAAGATCCCCAGCCAGCAAACAGGAGCCGCCTCAGATGCTTTGTTGTGTGCAGCAGGCTGCAGAGACTAGACCCGGAATCTAGAGAACCTCAGTATGGACAAAGAGGGGCTCTGATGCCTCAGGACTTGGGGTGCTCCAGGCTCAAACTGAGGCGTGGCTCAGCTACACGCCACTGTACTCCTGCAACCCAGAGCTAAGCCAACTCAGGGCTGCCCGTCACAGAAAGGGGCTGTCACCGTCCCTCGAAGTAGGCTGTGATTTGTTCCAGAGTCCTGCCCTTAGTCTCGGGGACAAAGGTCAACGTGAAAAGAACACTGAGGATACAGAAGGCAGCGGTGAGCCAGAAGGCACCATAGGGCTTGAGGATCTCCTGCAGAGAGGAAAGGCACACGTGGAGGTGGAGAGGTCAATAGGCCCCACACAATTCAGGAGCACCCTGACCACAGCCTGCCCTGCCAGCTGTGTGCGTGGTAGCGCACTGCCACCCAAGGTGATGTCTGTGGGAAACGGAGGCTCATGGTAATGTAGTGACTGCCCTGAGAGCAGAAACTTCAAGGAACAGTTAGGCTCCTGTTTCTGGGCACCCCAGGCCTATAGCTGCATGCCCCTCTCCAGTGTCCCAGCTACAGTGAGTTCTCTGTGTGGTGAGGAAGGGGAACTGTTGCTCTTGAGAGAGGGTGAGGGTGAGTCTGTGACCTTGTAGGTGGCAGAGCAAAGTCCCACTACTCAGGTCCTTGCAGGAGAGGTCACCGGGTGACCCTTCAGCTTCGACAGGCTGCTGCTCCCCGGGTCACTGCTGGGTTTGTCATATCCTGGGCCCATATCTACCTTCCCTCAGGTCCTCTGCTGTCTGCTCCCTCCAACATTCCATGGTGGGCCTCTGCCTGCCTTCCTCTGGGTTTTCTAGGCAGCCCCGTCTGCCTGAGCACGTTTGTGGTTAGCTGGGTGTCCACGCCACCCACTATCTTTCTGGCATTTGTCACGAAAGGGACCCTGTTCAGTTGTTGCTCTCCCTGCTGCCTTAAACACATGCCAGGAGACATGGAGGGCACCAGCGACCAAACAGATGGCCTGCTTATCTGGACCACAAGCTCTCTCTCATGGCGAGGAAGCTGGCAGGCAGCAGCCCTATCAGCATCAGCGGACGCAGAGGGAAATAAAGGCTGAGGGGAACTGGCACACCCTTCAGCAGAGGAAGGTACTGCTAGGTGGCCACACTTCTAGCTCATGACCATGCAGAAAGGGTAAGCAAGACACAAGGCCACATACAGGGTAGCAGCTCCCACCCCCCTCCCTGTGCATATGTGTGTCTCAGAGCTCAGGCCTGTTTTCTTATAGATATGAATCATGTGTTTCTGGCCTGTGTACCTGACATTCATTAATGGGGAAGGCTGGCCATAGTATCCTTACCCCAACACAGACTGAAGACTTAGGGGATCATGGACCGGGTTCCTATTTTGGTTTAGCCTCTGGCTCCATGTCACTCCTGAGATGGCTGTGTCCAAGCCATTAGGGACCTCGGATTACACTCAGGGTCATGGACAGGGAACCTCTGTCGGCCTTTGCTGACAGCCCGAGGGAAGGCACGCGTCTGCACTCACCATAACGCTGCTGAATGTTTTTGTTACCAGAAAGGCCATGAACCAGTTGGTGAGGACACAGACACCAGTAGCCACACCCTTGACATGCAGAGGGAAGATCTCGGACATGAGGAGCCAGGGGATGGGTCCCCAGCCCATGGCAAAGCCTGTGGGAGCAAGGCAGTGTTAAGGCACACATGCTGGGCTCTTACACCATGCTTCCTAGCCTGTGAGCCTTAAGGGCTCTACCAGCCCTCAACTCTGCTCGGAGGCCTTGGGCCAGTCCCTTCCTGTTTTAGACTTCAGGACAAGGATGGGACTTGCTTGTAAGTTGTCATGGAGATTATGTAAATGTAAAAGAATTTAGCTCCGTGCCCAGCACATGGTCAGAGCCGCATGCACAGATGTCACGCTTCTTGGGGCAGAGGAGCAAAGTCAAGTAAAACGAGATCAGAAGCTGAAAGTTACGGAACCTGGCATGGTGCTATAGGGACAACAACCCCACCCACATCCCTTGAGTCCCTTCTTACCGGCAATGAAGAGGCACATGCTGCCTACGGCCAGCCAGGCCAGCCCCACATGGACGTCAACAGGCTCCGCAGAGATGGGCACCAGGAGGCTCACATGGGAGGAGTTGCTGGGGCCACTCTGGGTCAGCTTGAAGTAAGTACCAAAGGCACTCATGCTGAATACCATGACCACACCTGCAGAAAGGGCTCAGGCTAGGCTGGGCACGGGGGACATGGCTTAGAGGGCAGCGTGGCCACTCTAAGAGAGGAAGGCCAGGTTTAGCAATCTCAGCTTGGCCATGGTAGCCCAACTGGATAGCACTCCTACTGTGCTTTGGACCTCTGACCTCAGTAAATACCGGGATGTTCCCGAGCATTCGCTCACCTGCAGAAGCAGGAACAGCAACCGCAGTGTTCAACCCCCATAACCACAGCGGCCTTCACAGATGCCAGCGGGTACCATGAATGTGTGGGCCAAATCTACTGCCCAGGACCTGACTCCACTGCAGCCCTTCCCCAGTTCAGAGTGGGAAAAAGAGGCTTGGGGACAGATGGTCACTCTGCCACCTCCCTGGCCCTGTCTCCCCATGTGAGCTGGGGAGACTTGAGTTCTCCCCCTCAGGCCTCACCTGACAAGGCCAGAAGTAGTCTCCGCCCTGCCCTGTCCATGACGAGGGCCGCCACAGCAGTGAAGAGGACTTGGATGACGCCCACAGTGACCGAGGCCAGGCTGCTGTCCTGGGAGATGGGAGAAGCTGGTCTGCCTGAGAGAGACAAGTCCCTCCCTCCCTCTCTGGCTGTGAGCTGGGTCAAACAGCCCCAGGCTCGGGGAGGCTAATTCACACACGTGACATGAGGCAAGCTGGGCAGAGGCCTCTTACCTTGAACTTGGCCTCCTCAAAGATGGTCTTGGCATAGAACATGATGGCATTGACCCCTGACAGCTGCTGGAAGGCCATGAGTGAAATGCCTATGACGAGGGGCTTGTAGACACCAGGGCGCCTCAGCAGAGCCAGTTGGAAGCCCTGCCATGAAGATGGGGCATCAGTGTCCTCTCCCCTGACCCAAGGACCCTTCTCTGAGCCCAGAAGCCTAAGTGGAGGGAATTGAGCCTCAGCTTGCTGGCCCCACCACGCCCGTGGCCTTGAGGGTGCAGACAGGCCCCTGCAGCCCCCTCAGTAGGAGGGGAAGTGGAAGGCTCACACTCCAGCACTCAGGGAAGGAATCCTGTACCCGAGTCCAAGC